AAATTTCATGTTTTGTTATAATTCTGTTTTTGTTGTGTTGTTATATTTTAGACATTTGTAAATATAGAATTTTTGTGTTCTAGAATAATTTAAAATATTATTCAGCAATTTTACTGTTTGCATTGCGGTGTCAATCCTCTTGCAAATTTTTATTGCGATTCAAAAAAGGCAAAACTGGTTCGTTGACAACAGGTTGATTTGCAAACTGTATTTCGCTGGCGTTCAATGCGCATAACTTTGTTTGCATCAACTTGACAGCGTTTAAAAACTTTTCGTTTCCACTTTCCAATGCACCAACACTCCAAACTACATTTTTAAAAACTTTTCTATTTCAAACTCAAACTCCAACTCAAAATCTAAAACTCCAACCAAACGTCCAATCTTTATCCTGATCTGTATCTTTATCCTTCTGTTATTGTTGTGATATTTTGTATTATAGAGATGTATTTCGGTTACAGCATGAATTGTTTCACTCCGAAAGGAAATGTGCACAATGTAAACAACAAATGTATTCGTTACGTCATCGCCGCGAAAATTTATCAAGCGCACACGGGCCGGAAACAAATATGAAAGGGCGGGCGAGCCGAAAGCCACTGACAAATCGGCGCGATTTTTTTCGTCCGGTTCAGTTTTGGCACATCTTGAATTGTCACCGTATCCGATGTCTTCTTTTTTGTTTTTATTGCGCGCAGTATTTATGAGGAAAGTTCAGCGCAACTTTTCGGCGTGGGTTAATACTTGGAATCTTTCGATTAATCTCACATCTTAAAAAAATCACAACAGAAGTTATATTTGGAAGTTATATCTTCGAGTAAAACCACAAAACTAAATAAATGTGGGAATTTTATTTTCAGATTTCGTACAGATGGAGACATCTGTTAATTTATTTAGGGAACTTTATATAAACAATCACAAAACAAGTTTAAACATGCAATCAATGTATCTATATATATATATATAAAAATTAATTGCTGTTCGTTAGTCTCGCTAAAACTCGAGAACGGCTGAACGGATTTATCTTATCTTGGTCTTGAATTATTCGTGGAGGTCTAAGGAAGGTTTAAAAGGTGAGAAAAATTCGTATTGCTATAGTTTGGGGATTATATGAAATATTTCAATTTTTAGATGATTGCGTCCGATTTGATTATGGATGTTTGTGTCGCTGCGTTCGCTTTGCAATCACGCATGCATCACGAACCAACACACACCATATGCCAATCGAAAATCACTCATTTTTTACACTCCCACTCGATTATTTACAATTTCCACATCAGATCACAGTGTATATTGATTGGATTTTCATAGTGCGAGTGTACATCCACTAAACGAGGAGGTGATGTGCGTCAGCGTTAATATTTTTCGAAATTTAATCGAATCTCCACGAACCGCATGCAAATGGAAAAACAATTCGTAAAATGTAATTAAACATATGTATACGTGCAGTTTATTGCAACTAACTGAGTTTTCACCGTAAAAATACGTTGGCTACTAATTTACAGGCAATTGGATTGATTTTTATAAATAATGAAATTTAATAATATGCTGAATGTTAATTGAAAACCTTGTCGTTTGTGATTTGTTTCATCATCGTGTTTTTTGCTTTGGTTTATTTTGTAAACAGTAGAAGCGCTTTAATTCCATTGGCAATTTGAATGAATAAAATATTCGACATTTAGCATTATGGGTGCATTTTCTCCGGATTCAATGCTTTGTATTTATCGAGAAAACTGATCCGGAACCGGGAAGATGCACTTTTCATGCTAAATTATTCCGCCGGATGCTTGCTCGTTTTGTTTTCGTGTGCACGTAACGATTCCATCATATCCATTACATTACGGGAAATTGCACATAAAAATTCAACCCGCCAAAATTGGAAAACAAAAAATTACACCTGTGCTTGATGACAAAAATTACTTTATACTCAAAGTATATTTGGTTGCCTATAATTAGTAGCATAACCACAAATCTGAAGTATGTGTGCAAACATAGCGGATTTTTTTACTTCCGCGAAAGTATTTCAAACAACAATATAAGATTGCAGCAGTTGGAACATATTTGTCTTACTTTATAAGTTTTCCAGCCATGGCAGACGGCGAAAACTTAAAGCACAGAAGAAAAAAATGCGAAGAACTTTTAGGCAAGGAGCAACGATTCGCCGAGCGAAACTATTTTAAAGTTTTGCCTTTGTCTCTTCATGAAAACTAATTAAAGTTTTAGTTCTTGTGCCGGCGTTGAAAAACTTATATTTTTACGCAATCTGTCTCATAAAACAATACAAAACTAAGCTTTTTTTGTTAACGTATACAACCAATTTTATAATAAAAAGTTTTTTAAAGTGTTAATTACATTATTGATGCTTTTTGTTGATTTTATTTCTAGGGTGTTTACTTTCTGACATCCTACATTTAATGCTATTGTTAGGATTAATTCTAAAAACGTATAAAGCGAAATTTAGCAGCGTAGCCTAATTATCCGCGTTTAATTAAGGTACGTCCCGGGGATTCAATGCGTAAAAAGAATGCTGCGAGACTTTTTACGCCGCACATGTGTATAATTAGTGCGTGTGCTTAATTAAATTGTATCGACTGGGTGTTGGGCGAGATTTCTACTGGGAATACGTAAGTTGCCCACGTTTCGCACGTTATTTGCATTTATATCAAGGGTTAGTACACGTAATATACTTTTGTATGTTAAATTTTCATTTTGAAACATCGAGGTCAAAATATTTGAAGATTTTATGTTCAAAATTTTAAAATTAAATTTTTTTCAACTAAATAAATGTAATAATGTAATAATTATTATACAAAAACTAATTAAAATATAAATAGTTGTTAATCTGATAATTTTTAGTTAAATTTATTAAAATAAAGTTTTTATATAACCCGGAACACACGCCGACATAATGTTAATTTACGCGAAGCACCTAAAGTAACACAAAATATGTTTTTGTTGGGCTTTAATTCGCGAAATTTGCGCAACTTTCGCAAAAACACTCTGACGCACTTGGTGCGAACCAAGCAGGTGAGCGGCTAAATACTAAACATCACATCACGACATTTATAATTTACAATCTCCCACATTCTGAACACACAGTATGTGTTTTCTTCCCTGAAAGCAAATACCTCTGAAAATTAATTAATATAGATTGTACACTGAAGTGGTAAACTTTTTTCTGTTTGCAAAGTCTCCTACGAAGAAATCAAAACATCGAAAAACATATAAATGTAAGATACGAGTATACCTAACCACAATTCGTGGTTCTACTTGTTTAATATTGATGTCAATGTGATTGTCTTGTGTTTTGTTTTGTTGGTTGTCTATAGTCAGAGGATATAATATGTGTTTGCTGGGATTCTGTGGTTTTTTCGCTCAATTCCGTGAAAACTTCTTTAATAACCCGAGAGTCCTGCGCTCCCATGATATTTATAACCACGCTTATATACTATATTCTAGCGAAATTTATATCGCGCCTGAGCGGCGGGAGCTTGCAGCCCCCGGGCATAGTTCTGGCACTCACCGTGAACACTCCTAGTCGTAGTTTGCCGACTCCACACGCCTGTAAAAAAGTTCAATTATAAAAAGGCATTCCACGGCGAATATCGCGCGCCTTACAAATATAACGATCCGGCATTAAAATTTGCATATTAATGGAAAAATCTGTTTAATTAGGTGAAGTTTATTCGTGGAGACGGCGTCGTTCGAATAAATGGCAAGTAATTACTTTCAATTTTCATTCGGCGCGCGCGACGCATTAAAAAGTAAATAAACGCGGCAACGCGCGCACAGGCGCAGGATGTGAATTTAGTGAATCAAATTGCACGTTGACGCGCTGGAAATGGAATATAAATTCAGGCGAGGAGCAAAAGTCACTGAATTACCAATGAGAAATTTGTGAATGTACGATTTAATCAAGTGCATAATGTAATATTTGTCGCAAATATCGCAGCGTTTTAAGAAGAAAATTAAATTTTCACGAATTTATTTACATTTAATCGCATTTTCAATGAAAAAATATTAATATCAAACATAATAAAAAATAAAGGATATAATTCTGTTAATTTTGATGTTAATAAAGTTACCTGTGAGATATTTATTAAGCGCAAAATGGAAAATCAAGTTTTTTTCTTTCATTTTATGTTTTTGTTAATTTAAAAACAAATCAATTAATTATTGTTCATTTACCAAACCAAATAGTTTAATACTTTTATGCTATAAATTCATGTTATGAATTTATCAAATAATGTAGAGCAAACATCGCTTCATCATAAAAGAACTGCGTAATTAAAAATTTCGATATTGAAACAAACATTAACGCAACAAATAGTTTGGTTGTTACATGAGTGGCTTCCATTTCATCATCCTAAAATAAAATTAATACTTATTAACTAATTTTCGTTTAAATATCGTAATCTTACCTCTGGAATATTTTCTATTCGATAAATAACTATTTGTTTCATTATTTTGTATTTGTTTTAATGTATTTAATGAAGAACCACAATTGGAGTCACAAACGTGTTAAATTAAATTATTCTATTGAATGGAATAAATCAGAAATTCACTTTCCAAGAATATAATGAAAATGCAAGGAAAGGGAAATTATACAATTGCAATTTATTCGCATATTAAAATATTAATGTAATTATGGTCAAACGCTGGTGATTAATTTATTAGCTTATTAATTTTGTTAAAAACACAAGTAATGTGAGCAATTTTGTTAATTACTTCGGCTATTTCCTATATTATTACTAAAATTAACCGACATTAATTAAGCTTAATTAATTTTGCAATAATATTAATAATATTTTGCAAGCGGAAATTAATTTAAACTCAATATTTCAATATTTTTACTGGTATTGTATATTATAGTTGGTAATGTTATTGTTTGGTTTTTTATAACTCGGATAGATAGATAACTCGACCATAGTAAACAAGCAAATGATAAAGGCTCTCTTTACCTGAAATAATAAAATAAAACGGTACATCTAGCGACATCTATGTGTGCTAATGTAGAACCACTTGAACAACCTTGACGTTTGAACATCTGTTTCTCTGCCTTTACTTATATTAACAAACACAGTTTTCTTAAATTGATTAATATAACTTGTTAAAATGCCTATTTACGAAAGTGAATCTCTGATAAAACTCCATATTGTCCTAGAAATAGGCACAGCTTACACCAGGTAAAATCTATAACAAGACAATTTACTATTTAGTTAAAAACATTTCTCGCAGGTTGGGATTCAGTGGAGAATTTGCACCAAGATTCATAATAAAATCCGAAATACGATGCAAAACCACCAACAAAATGAGGAAGCTTTCCGATTACAAGGACCAGAATGATCTGTATGATATGCTCGTCGAATTTATCCAGTTAATTTACTTCAAATATGCATTAATATCACCTAAAGATAAACCAATTGTATTGGTGGAGTCAATTTTATGTCCTACATTATTCAGATCAACATTAGCTAAGGTTTTATTCAGTCATTATGAAGTATCTGCAATTTGGTATCTACCCTCACATCTTGTGAGTTTAGCACCATTGGAAGTGGACACTGCATTGGTTCTTGATGTTGGATATTCTGAGGCTGTAGCTGTGCCAATTTGTCATGGTTATCCAGTGCTGCATGCATGGGAAGCCCTGCCAATTGGTTCTCAGCATGTTCAGAAGAAAATAATGGAGTTGCTGTCCAGTGACAATTTGGGTGTGCAAAACTTGAATGAAGATGTTTTAGAAGATATTAAAGGTAAATTATTCTTTAAAATCCATTTGTTGGTTAAATTTTGCATGTATATATGAATTGCTTGTTTAAAATTTGATTTTTTCAATAATTTTGTGTTTAAATTTGCATTTTATTTAGATAGATGCTGTTTCGTGACCAAAATCGACCGCGCAGAAAACTTTTCATCTGCAAAACCTACAATTACACCGTGTCCGGAAGTTACCTACCCATTAGGAGGCAACAAAATGTTGAAAGTCAGCGGTAAACTTCGTGAAACTGCATTTGAAGTGCTCTACAATGAAGATGTCGATGGCCGTTGCCTCACCACGATGATTCTAGACGCCCTGTTGAAAGTGAATGTTGATTTGCGGCTCAAACTTGCCGGCAATATTTTACTTACTGGGGGGACTATCATGACGCCTGGATTCAAGGCGCGTTTGAAGGCAGAGCTCCACAAACAACTTGAACTTCCCAAGTACAAACATCTAAAAACTGAGAATTTTGTTTTCAAGTTCCACAATCCACCTTGCAAGGACAATTATACAGCTTGGTTGGGTGGTAAGCACCAAGTTTCATTATTAGGTGATGAATTTAAGTGTTGTATGTTTGAATTTGTTTCCAGGTGCAATTTACAGCTGTACAGAGTTGTTTGCTTCGAAAGCTTTGACCAGAGATCAGTATTTGAAAGAAGAGAGAGTTCCAGATTGGTCCAACATGAGAGATAATGTCAGAAGTACAGCTTAGAGACCAATTGGTATGGTAAATTGCCTTTTCTAATTTATTTTATACTTTTAATTAAAAAAGTCGGCAATATTTTATTTCTATCTTCAATTTTGTGCAAAATAAATAATATTTGCTTCAAGTTTCATAAGTCAACTTAATTTTTAAGTTTAAACTCATTTTTGACTGCTTTTCACTTGATTATACTGGAATCTATCATATATTGTGCTCAAATTCTAAAATTAGAATATTTTCCTCGGTTTAAACTTCGTGGATTCTATTTGTCGACCAGTAAATCAGTAATATATACATTAACAAATAATTTCTCTAAGATTACACAGGTTTTCAATTGGTTTTATTTTTTAAATATGTTCCTTTGTTTTTAATTCGCTGGCCTAGGTGGTGGAGGCTGAGCAAACGGCTCCTCAGCCGCCTGCGCATAATACAAGCCGTAATTATACGGCCGTAACTCCCATGGGACTTGATCTTCCATTCGCGTTAAATTCACGCCCAAATCCTCTAATGTGGGCAAGTTGCGTTCGACCACATCAGTTCCACACTCTCTTTCCAACCTCTCCCAATGTAAATTCGCCATCGGATGCGATGGACTTATCATTTTCGTCATAGACACCTTCATTTGGAAGAATGGGTCCCATTTCATATCATACCTCCAATAACCCCATTCTTCATCCTTTTTCATTACTTTATAGAACCAATCTACCAAATCGGATAGGTAATACCTGGTTGGGCCTACAGCTTGATAGATTTTCCCGGCAGTGTCTGGGTCTTTTAATGCAGCGACGATTCCAGCTGCTACATCGCTGACAAACACGGGTTGTTTAATGGTGCTTTCACCTTTCTTGTACAATGGCATCCATTGTACTTGCCTCCTCCATGCGTGCGCGTAATACCGCAGAAATCTATCTTCCTGGCCGTAGATATCCGAAGGACGAATGATTGTGGCTTCGGGGAATTCGGAAAGCACGGCTTGCTCGCCGCATGCCTTGCTTTTATAAAAGTTAGACCCTCCTTTGAGTAGATAGCTAGCTGGATGTTCATCAGCGTTGAGACATGAGACATGAATGAACCGCTCAACGCCAGCTTTTTTGCTGCTCTGGCTAAGGCCTGAGCACCAACGCAATGAACATCATTGAATTTGAAGTTTGCGGTCTCCCAATCGCGACCGACTAAGTTGATTACAACGTTGGAATACTTGACGGCTTTGTCAATTGATGCTTGATCTTTTAAATAGAAGGGAGTGAAGAGGACTTGGCCAAGATCGCCGCATAGACGCAAGCGGAGTGGCTCGTAATTGTCACCTCTATAAGGGATGATTAACTGAAAACATCATGAAATTCATTCAAAATTGTGTTGATTTTCAACAGAAGCAATGAAAATTGATTAAAAAGAACATTAATACCTTATTTATATGCACACAAATATTTTATAGGCCAGTAATTGTTGTCTCCAGCTATGTTACCCCTATTTTCTGTATTGTTTTGTGTTTATACCTTACCTGAGAGCCAATCTTGCCAAGTTTATTACACACATAGCGACCTAGGAAGCCAGTAGCTCCAAAAACAGTCGCAACGACGCCGTTGAAACTCGACCGGCCACCAGTACCACGCTTCAAGGAGCTGAGATTGAACGCCTTCTTCTCGCTGCTGTAGTTATTTACACGAACGTATGCAATGGAGACAATTCCAGTTTGTTGCTCTGTTAAAAGAGATATGAGGTTAAGTTATGTAACTTGTTTTAAATATTTCGAAAGGAAATTTGGCACTTAGCTTCGACCCATTTTGTGAGGGGTAGCTTGCATAACGGTATACAAATTATAAAGGTATCACTTACTTAAAAGTTGGGCCCCAGTGCAGATTACCGCTGCCATTGCGACGATTACATTCGATGGCAGAACTCAGATGTTTGGGTGCTAGATGACAGATAACAAGATTTTGTGGTTGCATACCAATCATGTTGGTAGCCTAGCTACAATAATGCCTCATGTTTATGAAAAATAATTGAAGATTCAATTTCAGTTTCTTCATCATTATAAGAATTATACACAATTCTTGTAATTACTTTATGCAGGGGCCATTATATACATATCTCCTTTAATATGTATATGTATATTTATATATTGTATGTTTAGCAATCATGTAAAACTTATGAAAGATATAAAATTGTGTATATGTATAAAAAGCTATAAGATTCAGACTAATTTCAATAGTTAGTAAGCGCATATTACTTAATTTCTAAAACTTAAACCTTGTAAACACATTCGCCCGCAATCCACGTTGATATTAAGTTCAATTCATCGTCTACAAACACCAAATCTGCATCGCAGCCAAAATCCAAGCATCCCTTGCGGTCGGAAATACCTAAAGCTTTCGCCGGGTGAAGAGAAGCTGCTTCAAGAGCAAATTCTTTGGTACAAGCTAAAAAAAATTTATAGTACATCCATAAATATCTATTAACATTTAAATTACCAGTTTCTCTGTGAAACTTTTGAACGCATTCGTTCATGGTGGCGATGCTCCCGCACAAAGTCTCCGTCCCAGCAATGCACGCACGTCCATTTTTTATATCAATCAGGAACTGACCAATATTATGAGTGCCTTCTTGCAATCCCATCGCGGATATTGCATCTGTGACTATTACTAGTCCTTAAAATATTATTTAATGATTATTAAAGTATTAATTAAACAGTTTATCAATCAACCTTCAGGATGAGCTTTGTAAGCTATCCTTAACGCTGCTGGATGCGTATGAATCCCGTCTGGGATAATTCCAAAGTATATTGTTCTACCTGCTGGAATGTTATGTGATTGCAGAAGGCCTACTAAGCCTGGATCACGATGGTGAAACTAAATACATTGTTTACATTCATATTTTGTTGCATTTAATAAGTTTTACTTGACCACAACTTACAGGAAGCATAGCATTAAATAAATGCGTTATCAACGATGCACCTTCCTTGACTGCAGCTTCACCCTCAAGTAAATTAGACATGGAATGCCCTAGAGTAACATTTTTAAGCAATTCTTAATTCTTTTGTTTATAACTTACCAACTGATGTGACAATTCCTCTTGCCGTGAGTTCTTTGATAACTTCTAAGGCGTTTGGCAGTTCTGGCGCTAAAGTAATAAGTGACACGTTGTCGATTGATCCGTAAGTGTCCATTAATGTTTTAAATCCCTAGGAATTTACTAATTTGTTAAAAAAAGGAAAAAAGTTTCTGATTAAAACACTTACATTACTTAATTCTTTTATACAATGAGGTGGATGTGCTCCTTTCTTCTCTACATTAATAAAAGGTCCTTCCAGGTGCAATCCTAAGACAGTAGCTCCATGTTTACCTCCTGGGTGTCTTTGGATATTCTTTATTATCTTGTGGTAGACCTCCACTGGTGAAGTAACCATTGTTGGACAATAAGAAGTGACACCATGTTGCAATAATCCTTTGGAGATTGTTAAGATTTCTTGCTCGTAATTCTCACCAAGATTTGAGAAGTCAATACCAAATGCACCTTTAATAAAACTTAATTTATTTAAATCAGCAATATTATACTATATCTTACCATTTATTTGAGCTTCTATAAACCCAGGAGCAATGATACATCCATGACAATCAATCTGAACATCAGAGCTTCTCCTTTCATCAAAAAACACCTGTTCAGGATTCACAATTTTACCATTGCGTACCCACAAGTCATCCTTCACCAGAATGTGATCTCTGAGGATACGACAGTTGATAAACTGGATTAATTGTTCATCCATTGTCATTACTGGTTTATTTCATTCACAGTACTGCCCAGTACATGCCTTTTTACGGCTCTGAAATTAATATACTATTTTATTTACTTAATTATCAGTGCAGTTCAGTGACCTGTCCAAAGTTATTTGATTTAACATTTAATGTAAATGTTTGGAAGGCAAAATGACCTAGATTTATTTACTCCGCGTATATTTATTCAAACAATATATTAATTGATAAAATAATGCATAACTTACGATTTATACGTTTATTATTAAACTTGTTGAACAAAGTAAAACTCTAACCTTAATAAAACGATTTGTTTCTCTTCTTTTGGGCATATGAGTGTGGCAATATGACTGTAACAGCACATAAAGAGCAATTAACTCTATAATTACAGGAATGTGATCAAATTATCATCATAGATAGCGATAAGTAAACAAACCACTTGGAACTTTAGTTTATTACACTTTTTTATTTATTTCAAATGTGATAGACTACCAAACATTCATCAGTGGGTGAAAAATGTCAAAAATGAAAATAAAATAATAAAAACTAAATAAATAAGATGAATTTTAGTTAAAACCTCTCAATTTCTTTATTTGGAAACTACAAGTTTTCCCTTTTTGTCTCTATCAACTCATCAACCTTGGTTCTACTTACATTATCTGTTGATAAATTAACAATTGACATGTTTGTAAATTAAATTTATATCAAATCTACTAAATATTAGTAATATTACTAAAAATCAATAAAACAATAGAAAACAACACGGAATAAATACACTATCTCCTAATATATCCTAGATAATATTTGTTCATAACAGTTTTGTTTACTGCAAAATCTCGTAGACCATTGATTTGAGAGCTTTGAATTTCAGCGGAGTTTGACGTATGTTGTTGACTAGAAGTTGTTCCATTTCTTGGACCTTTTTACTGCGCATTCCTCGAGTTATGAAACCAAGTACCATCACCACATAACCCAAACCAATGATAATCCAGACAAGGAGGAAGATTTTATAGGTTGTGAAGAGAAGATCACCAAATTTATTATCTTGCACGCCTTAAATTCAAAAAAATAACAAAATAGTAAATTGTGTATTTGGTTGCCTACATTGTAGTAACAAGATTTACCTGCAACGTAATCACCAAATCCTATTGTTGTTAATGTAACAAACGCGTAGTAAACCGCCACATCATAATCCCATCCTTCGAATATCATAATGGCGACAGAAGGCAGAAAAATAAGTAAAAGAAATCCAGGTAGTAGATAAAGTACTATTTGCCCTAGGAGGCCGAGATTTGCGGTTATGTTATGGATTTTGTCACTTTTCCAATTTGAATAATACTTTTGTATCTGAAACATTAAATTATAATCAACAATCTATTTAATTATCAAAGATATTAACCAATATTTAAACTTAAATCAAAATAATGTTAATTTAATTATCATTTCCCAGTTAATTTTATTATATCTTAAAAACTAAAGATGTCTGATCAGCTTTTTTGCAATTTATTACATCTTCATGTTTTTAATTAGCAACGTGTCTACTAGCATTGCTTTTCTGTGTTTATTTAAAAGTACTGAAGGTGTGAATTTTCAGGCGTAATTCGGTTGCCTTGTGGCGTCGCAACAGACGTCATTTGGTCTTTTAGCGCGTATCACGCAATAATAATAATTGGCGGCGTAAATAATAATTGTCGTTGATTCATAGAAATTGCAAACTCACAGCGATCTCATCTCAGCGTTGTGTTTTCGTAAAAATTTACACGTGATTCAACAATCCTGATACTCTTGACTAATAATTTTTATAAACAATTAAATTATTTGTTAAATAATTGTTTAAAAAATATTACCAATGAAAAATTAATGTTTATTATTAAAATTTGTATGTTTTTCTTTCATTTATTGAACTTTTGTATTGAAATATTTGAATTTTTAGTAAATTATTAGCAAATTTTGTATTTACCCTTCTTCCGAACATTCCACCAAGAGTTACCATGACGATACCATTCAGTGGGATGCCAAAAAGTCCGTAAAAGATCATCACAATTCGGCCTTTCATTGTTGTTGGTGCTAAATTGCCGTAACCTAATAAAAAATTGATAAAAATTAATAAAAGCAGTAAAATTTTATTAAATTTAAAGAAAATTATTTCACAATGTGATTAAAAACATCTTATGACTTTTAAAATTTTTCTAGATTAGTCATTTAGTTATTATCATCAAATTTTCAATAATAACTGCAACGTTGCTTCGATAAGATGCAAAATTTTGATAAAAAATAAAAAATACAAAAAAAAACAAAAAAATACAAAATTTTTAAATAAAACCTACCAATGGTACTGACGACAGTAATAACAAAAAACAACGAATGATAAAAATCCCATCTAAGGGGTGGAATATCCTGGGACATCCTGGCATGCATGGGTTTCCCACAATATTCAGTTAATTTCTGAAATATTTCTTCCTGCGTGGCATTTTCCGTAGGGTGATAGTGATAAATTAATAACTCTATAAAAGAAAATAAACAACATCAAATAAAACAATAATTAAAATAAAACGCATTTCGTAAAGTAAATAAATAAATAAATAAAGCACCGGATTAAGATAAAAACATAATGATCAACATTTTTGACATTTTTAAAACCCATTGATTGATTAAACTTTCAATAAACTAATCGGATTAATATTCAAGTGTTTTATCAAATTTCCCGTAACAAATTCACATTTACACTGATAAATCACTGATAATTGAAATCAAATTACGATAATTGCATTGTAAATTGTAAATTTTTTGTAGTGATTTCTATATATTTTGTAATATAACGTTCAAGTGTAAACAAATGGCGGAAAATTACGATTACAATAAGATTAGCTGGAATGCTGGCAACAAAACGTGAAACTTGAGTTTGACATACGTGCAGTTATCAATTAATTACCAATTGACAACGTTGGCGATAATAATTGGATGCGGAATCACCGATACTCGTATAAAACTTGAAAACAAAAACGTGATCATTCCTAAGTGCAAAATTTGTAACAATTGCAAATTGCGCGTATTGAATCATGCAAAGGTTAATATTTTTTATGCACTTACTGAATTATCGTGTGAAACTTCCCATTACGTAGAAATTTATTAATTTGTTTTATTTTTTTAGACGTAAGTAGTTGTTTGATAAATTTATTTTATATTTTACATTAAAGGTCAATAAAGGTTTCTCCTATCAGTAATTTTATACTACTTTTAAACAATTTGTTGATTCATGGCACGCCAGTGCATATGATAATTTAATTCATGTCTTGTTCCTGACTTTGTGTTTATGTAGATATTATTATTTATATTAACTTGTATTACATAGCCTTGTTTTAATGCAAATGAAGGAAATTGAATGTTAATATTCATGTTGTGTTTTGTCTTTATGCTGAAAAACTGAATACTTGAAAAAAAAAAAGGTTAAAATGGAGCATAATTCGAGATAATATTAAATTAACTAAGTGTATTGCTATGGTAACCAACATAAACATAATATTTTTATGTTTTACATTTGTTTATATAAAAATCTATATAGGTATATAAAAATGAATTGCTGTTCGTTAGTCTCGCTAAAACTCGAGAACGGCTGAACGGATTTAGCTTGTCTTGGTCTTGATTTATTCGTGGAGGTCTAGGGAAGGTTTAAAAGGTGAGAAAAATTCGAATAATTGCCAGGAAAATCCTCAAAACAGCTCTTTTCTATAGAATAAAATTTGACATTGAGATTCAATCATAGTTATAGTTAAATAGTTGAATTCGAGATGGCGCGCTGAAGTGCATTATTGACAAACCGTTATATAATTAATTTCTTTAAATTAAAATTGCTAATCTTATTGATAGAGATGACTCTTACTACGAGTATGTCTAGAACAAGAGAGTAAAAACGAATTACATTTTTATTAAACACTGCCGGAACGAAGTCGCGGGCAACAGCTAGTTTGTTAATAAATGTTACCTTTGACATTGATCTAACCTTAAAATTTTAACCTCACAAAAGGACTACTTTTGAATTACTCATAAGAAAAATGAAAAAAATAAAATGCTATATAAATAAATCGCCTGATAATATTTCTAATGAATATCATGTTACCAGGTAACGAAATTTTGGAGTTTTTAATCCATGTGGAGTGCGTACATACATTATACTATAGACACGTTAATTGTAATGGGGCAAGGTTTGTTTTGATTGTCTAGGCAAGTGATATCAACATTTCAAAGTTAATAATATGAAAAACTCATGTTTTTAGAGATGTGGATTCACCTGGTGATAGACTTTCACTCTCTGGCACTTGCAGAATACTGGGACAAATGATTAAGTTTAGAGTTTTATCAATTCTGTAATTGAATGTTTTATTTCATTAAGCCAATGTAATTGTTCATAATTGTTATTGAATTTGAACTCGGTTAGAAACAAGCAGAGGTCATAAATGTTTTTTAAACCTCTCAGGTTATTTACAACTGCAAAACAGAGTAAAAAGTTTAAGAAAACAGAACAATATAATTTTTTAAAACGTTTTTTGTGTTTTTATGTTAAATATTCGTAGAAATCTTAGTTGAAGTAGATAATAAAAGAAAAATTAGTATTTTTCTAGTATAAATTAATTTAAATATAGGTAAACTTCTTAATTTACGTTTCCATTTATAAATTTAAAAAGTATTTCTGTTATTAGTATACACCTACATTTTTTGCAATTGATACTCGTAATCATAACAGTTTTGTCGTCGATGTTTTCATGTTTGTTACTAAAACCGTATGAAATGTCGTTGTAAATCAACTTTTACTACACATACATTGTTTGAGCTACTCGTAGTTTATTAGTACACATTTCTAAACTTACTGCTAGTTATTTATTCCCTAATAAATAAAATAATAACGACTATTCTCGTAAACCAACCTTCAATTTCTCTCCTTTCCTCTCTTTCCACTTCCAAACGATTTGTCTCTTCTAAGGACTCGATCTGATAGAAGAATCCAGCGCCCAACAGAAGATAACTTATTTCTAGACACAAAAGCACGAACCACTTCCTAAAGGACATTAACGGCTCCATGATTACAGTTTTTTATATATTTTTTATATAATTCTGCAAAATAAACAAAAAAAAAACGGTTTTATTTTATTTTATTTCATATTTAAAGTTTCTATACTTACAAATCAGACTTTTAAGGCAATTTAGCTTTAATTCTCACTTCCACTTTAATTTTCACCAAGCACAATAAGAAAAGTTATATAACAACAGTTTAATTAAACAAAATCACACGAGTATTCGAAGCAATCCGTTGATTTAATACTGATTTGAATTTTTTCGCACTCCTTGTTCCAAATTATGTACGGTTTTAAATGTTCGATTACGCGATGAAAAGCGATCGTCAAATGCGCGCGTTTTCAGGTAGGTCCAGTTGCAACAAAAGCATCAACAGCATCAACTCAATGAGAGCAACAATGGACCATTTGTTGAAGGAGTGTTCCTGCTCCCGTACGACGCGCTTTTCAGCACACGACACGATTTTCCGCTTCACATCCATTGTCACAACGTTGAACCAGGCAAAAATTAAATGTATTCATCACTTTATATTTAAAAATTCGCTTTTTGGATTAAAAACTTTTTCGTTGTAACTTTCAAATGAAGCAGTGACTAACTGAAATCTTGCGGTGTTATTAGAGCGTTGTAAATCGTGGCATCGATGTTTGTTTAAGTAATTTTATCTGTTTAGAATGTAGCGCGTATTATATTGATGATGACACTCGAAGCGTCCGTACAATGCGGTGATTTCAGGTTGTCGATGTATTTATGATAATGCGTACGATTTCAGCCGTCTCAGGTGCCAGTAGAGGGGCATCTTGAAAATTACAGCAAATATAACAAACACACACAAGTATACAGTTTTATTTTCACCGCTGCACTGATTTAAATGAAAATATATTTAATTATTTTCAAGGCGAAACATTTTTACACGTTTTATTCGTTGTTGTCGGCTGCGTTGCTCTTGAAGCAAGACAAGCTGTCTTAAAAAATGATTCTGCTTGCATCAAGGGCTTGCAAATGAAATTAAACCTGTCTTACAGCTTTCACGTTCGTAAAAAACTTTGTCTGGAGCAATTTTTATTGATTTATTTCGTTAACGGATTTGCACTCGTTTATTTAAGACTTTAAGTGTATTTAAAGTTGCATACATTTAGGGGCATAAAATGTGTGTAACTGGAAGACTATTTTAGGGATAAATTCGGATTTATTGCGAATAACGCAAGTTGTGTTTACAAAAATCAGTTTTATGTTTTATCAGTCATTATGTCACTTTATCTATAACGGAATTCCATCTTAACATACAGGTTTATAGTCCAAATCATCCAAATTAATGATTTTACGCAAAATTCCTAAAATTTTGCGCAATACTCAATTTCAAGCTCTATATTAATAGAAAAGGGGATTCCATCTTTTATATAATTGTAACTAAGTGAATGATTACTCTGGATTACCAAGAAAAAGTGTATAATATAGTGATATGATTTGTGCATGTTTAAAAGTGTGTCAAGTGTGTAGTATTGTCCTCTCATGTACGCGCACGTACGATGTCCATGTAAAAATGACTTTATTGACGCACTATAGACGCAGACGTAAAAAATCAGATGTCTCAATACGCTGCAAAATCGTAAACACTTCGAAGATAACGGAAAATTAATTCAATTGTGGAAAAACTTTTGCTTGCAATAATTGTTTCAAATAGAAAATATCAACTTCGGAAATTTTAGACGAAATTTGCTTTGTTTTAAAATTTGCGCGTTTAATTGTTTTGTCTACATACTCTATATTGTATCATCGTGCTGTGAACAGGTCAGTGCTAATTATTTTGCGCGATTACGGTCAGAAATTGGTTCATTGAAACCAAATATTTTTGCATACAATTAGTGTAATTATTATTTACTAAAGAAAATGAAACTAATGTTGTATAGTTTAATTTATTAATTAAACGTTGTTTTTTACATGATGCAAAAGAAATAATACAATGTACTACTGTTAATATATCTTATATTAACTTATATTATTTTATTTAACATTAAAGAGGCCATTTTAGAAACTTTTGCGCACCCACGTTGTGACGTTACTGACATCTGTCGGGAAAGTTGCGAACTAAGTCGCACTTTGACAATTTTAATAACCCTCAAGTTTCTTTTCGGCTTTGCCAGTGCGTCAAGCATTGAATCTGCGTGAAAACTTACTTCAAACTCATAAGAATACTTTTCCTAAGGCAAAAATGGCAGAAGCTATGAAGAAGACCGTTGCTGGTATGCTGAAAGGTATTGAAAGGTGAGTTTATCCTCAGGAAAATACAAAACTATACAAATAAATATTTCTTATAGGTTATGGTGTGTTATGCTTGAATATGTTTAATGTTATTTTGTTTTTTAAGGTACAACCCGGATAATTTAGGAACTCTGGAGCGTTATGTCGAGATTCAAGCCAGAGAAAATGCATATGATCTTGAAGCTAACTTAGCAGTGCTGAAACTGTATCAGTTCAACCCAAGAATGTTCAATATTGACATCACTCAACTGATTCTCCTGAAAGCACTCACAAACTTTCCTCATTCAGATTTTATTCTGTGCAAATGCTTATTAAATGAAGCAAAGGTACTTCTTATACTAATTTTTTCTTGTTTTTGTCTATAATTTTTACTTTTTTAAAGCTTGCACAAGAGCCAATCAACCAAATCATTTATCTTGCACACATTTTGGAAGAGTGTGACTTCCAGTCATTCTGGAAGAGAGTAATGGCTGCTCCAGAAATGACATCAAAGATTGCAGGTTTCCTGGACTCAATCAGGAAATTTGTATGTCATGTGGTTGGTATTACTTATCAGACAATCGAGCGCGGGCATTTGTCACAGTTGCTCGGCGATATTGACGACATTACCATGAAACACTGGATCAAGAAGTATGGTTGGAAGGAGGAGGACAAGCTAGTGTTTATTGCCAACCAGGATGAAAACATTAAAACCAAGAATATTAATGAGAAAATCGATTTTGAATCTGTCGGGGGCAGTTATGGCGGCTTCACGCTGATTCAGTATTCAATTTCCTTAATAAAATTTTATAAAACAAGTAAATTTTTCCATTTCAAAATCAGGAACTTTATTTTATAGTCTTAAATTTCTCATCAATTCAACATACACGATGATGGATAACAATTTTTATCATAAAAGTCGTTTTTATCCAAGTTTACTTTATTGTCGTCATTGATATAGATGTGTATGTGAAGTTGCCTACAACATCACATTTCCAACCTCATTTAGTTGTCAAACCATATGTAATGTCTTTAATCAGTTAAAAATCAACATTTTCAAATTACATCATTTCACCACCAAAAATCAACCAAATTACAGCAATAGGTCAATAGAATTATGCAGAAAATCTACAAATGCATAAGCTACCACAGAGGTAAAATCATTCAGCTGCAATGCTGTTTTCATCACAAACAACATTCGCTTACAAAGCAAATCATCCTTGGAAGTTACAACAACTACCAGCAGCATAAAAATGAACACAAAAGTTTCTTTGACTGGCTGAAAAGTTTCAAGCAGAAGTTTTATTCAGTTGCATTTTTCACTGGTGCTGTGTCATTGTCAGCACTTACAATAAATTGTGATGCATTGATCAACAACACCAATCATTTCGAGAAGAGATTCTTTAGGTCAGTTCAATATGGAATTGAACAAGAAGTAAAAAGGTATGACAACAATCATTGCATATTTAAATTAAATTATTTATAAGTTTATCTGATTTAATAGAATGTTAGTCTCAAATCAAATAGATGTAAATGCAAGGCACACACTTGGATGGACAGCATTAATGGTGGCAGCTGTGAATGGTAGGACTGATATTTGTAAATTATTGTTAGCCAAAGGAGCTGATCCAAATTTAGGTGATATGTACAAAAGTCCACAGAAGGTAGCACATGAGTTAGGACTTCATGTACTAGAAGGTATAATATAATTCATTGTTTAAAATGAATAACAAATTTGGTTTTAAAAATATCGTAAATTATTTTAGTTTTGCTTATGAGAGATGAAGAGTTCTGTAATAAATTAAACAACAAAGCAACTTTTCTTGGTTTCACACCTTTGCATTATGCTGTGCTTGCTGATAATTATGAAACAGTGAGGATTTTGCTTGAAGCAGGCGCAAATCCTTTGCAGGAGAATGATTCTGGTCACAGAGCTATTGATTATGCAAAAGATGGACCTATCAAGAAGGTTTTACAGGACTATACAGCAAAGGTGCAAAAAATTTAAATAAATTTTATGTTTTCATCAATCATTTGATTTATTTTAGTTTGATGCAATTAAAAACAAAAAGAACTTGAGGAACGACGAAGATTTCCGCTTGAACAGAGAATCAAACAGTTTATTGTTGGACAGGAAGGTGCAATCACAACAGTGGCTGCTTGTAAGTAAAACATTCATTTAAATTACCGGAAATAAATTCAAATATTGTTAGGTGTAAGAAGAAAAGAAAATGGATGGGCAGATGATGATCATCCGCTTGTATTTCTATTCTTGGGTTCTTCTGGCATTGGTAAAACAGAACTAGCCAAACAACTCGCATCATATATTCACAAAGATAATCCAAAGTCATTTATACGTCTCGATATGTCTGAATACCAAGAAAAACACGAAGTAGCCAAGTTAATTGGAGCGCCACCTGGGTACATTGGTCATGAGGAAGGTGGGCAGTTAACAAAAAAGCTGAAGAAATGCCCGGATGCTGTGGTTTTGTTTGATGAAGTAGACAAAGCGCATCCTGATGTTTTAACGGTTTTGCTGCAGTTATTCGACGAAGGACGCTTAACTGACGGACAGGGTAAAACAATCGAATGCAAGAATGCTATTTTTATTATGACTTCTAACTTGGCAAGTAATGAAATTGCTCAGCATGGTTTGGAAATTCGCAAGGAAGTGGAAATTATAAAGAAAGAACGTTTACAAAAGAAAGGTTTGTATTTTTTAAATTTTTGAATTAAATAATGATTATTTTGATTGAAATTGTTTAGAAACCGCGGCTGAGTGTATAACAATCTCAAGAAAGTTCAAAGACAATGTGGTGAAACCAATTCTACAGCGACATTTTAAACGCGATGAATTTTGGGTCGAATTAACGAAATTGTTTACTTTTTGCCATTCTCCCGTAGCGAATTATACGAATTAGTCGATAGAGAGCTGCAACTGTGGGCAAAACGAGCGCAGGACAAGCATAAGATTATCCTGAAATGGGACGGAAGCGTTAAGTCTGCTTTAGCAGACGGTTATGACGTAAATTACGGGGCAAGATCTATTAAATATGAAGTGGAGCGCAGAGTCGTTAATCAATTGGCGTTAGCGCATGAAAATGGAGTTATTGACTGTGATTGCACCGTTAAGGTGTCCGCGATTACTTTGGAGAATAATCCTGAGACACCAAGGATTAAAATCAGCGTGCAGAGGAAAGGAGTGAAGGATTTTGTTGATTTGGATGCAGGAGAGAGTCCTATTAAGAGAACTGGAGGAATATTTGGCCGGTAAAATAAGAGTGATTACGGTTGCATAACTTTCGATGATGCTAACCTCAAAAACTAGTAAAAATTAACGAACAAAAGAGAATAAAGCAATTTTGAATACGAATCACTTTAACTGATTTTAGTGTGTTTGTGTCCTGGGTTGTTTTGTTTGTGGGTAAGTAAACTTTAAATCAATAATGATCCATTTTTATTTTAAACGTGTACATGTGCGTGCTAATACGTAAATATCGCTTTAATTCCTTCACATTTCCCAATTTGCATGTTTGTAGAAATATCTCAATATTTACTTTAAATATATCATGATTTCTTTGGCGCATTTTTCTCATATCGTCGATTCGAGTATAATAATTACATTAATTACGTTACAAATTAAATATTCATCAAAAGATTAATTTTCCAAAAAACGCACGTCAATAGTTCGGCACAGAATATTTAAATAAAATAAAAAACGAACGAATTATAAATGCAACATTAAATCAATGTTTGTCTGCAAGTTTTGTTTGTGCTAAAGACTTATAAATCTTGGTGTTACGAGTATCAATGATAATAATTAAGAGACGTATTTAAAAGAGATAAAAATACAATTACGTTATAAATAACACAAAGTATGTTTGCGGCGTCTTTAAAACTTAGCTTATGATTGCTCTTGGTTAAAATGGAACACAAATAAGTATGGAAACATGACTGAATAGAAGATTTGTCGCGTCTTACATCGTTAGCGAGTATAAATGCACAAGAAAAACATTTCCTAACGTCAGCACATTTAACACTACGTTTTCATTTTTTTTGCAAACAGTTACCCTGTAGTAAATAGCGAATGTTCCAGTCATGATTTGAGTGTTGTACATTTAAATTAGAAAATCGAATTGAACAAAGTAATGTGCACGTAAATTTCATAATTACACAGCGAATCTTCTCTAAGCAGTAGATTAAAATTAACTAAAAGGTACGAATACAAACGCGGTGATGTTTACATACAAATACAAAATAAAAACGGTTCGAGGAATGACTCAAGATGTACATTTCATCCAAATATTAAAATCATTGGTCAATCTTATACAATCTAGTCTCTCATCCGTTCTTGCATCATCATATCGTCACATATAAAGTTATTAAACATTAATAATAACACGCATCCGCTCATCTTCACATTACACACTATCATATCAATAATTTTAATAAGTTTAAAATATAAAACGTTGAACAAAAAAGCGCGCAGCGCGTGCGCGCGTTGTTTCTCAATTTGGTTTCGTGTTTGTTTGTATAGAATATAAAAATACAAGTATTGTATATGAATAAATCGTTGGCACTCACAAGTTAAGTTGTTGTTGTCTTTGTAATAAGCGTTTTCTTTTTTTGTGTTATTATGTGTTGTGTATTCAAATTCGCGGCTTGTAGGTGAGTGTAACGTGTATCGTCTCCGGTACGGTCTTGACGCCAGTGTCCAGCGCTTGACCGCCGACGTTGTTCACATCAGGCGCACCGCTGCCAGCGTCTGAAGGGCATGAACACAACTCCGCTTTGCTTTTGAATGAACACGATCGCGGTATGTTTTCGTACTTGAGTTTGAAGCTGCCGGAACGTGAGTTCGTCGCTTTCAATTCGCGTCCTTTAAAACTGAAACAATATTTATGCGTGTGTTTATAATATATCGAAAGTAATTGCATGCTCTAGTTACCTATTTGAACGTGAACTGGTTACTTTCGCTCGTCGGCTTGTGGATCGGTGCAAGTAGGAGCGTTTGTCGCGCGAGTTGGAGCGACGAATGCTTGGCCGTTTTTGTACTGATTCTGCACTTAATGACAGCCCAACTGCACCAACTAAACGAAAAAAATTATTAATTTTATTTCTTTTGTAATTAATATATATTTACCAATGGTTCCTGAAGATGATTTGCGTAAAAGAGCACTGGTAAGTGCAGACATGTCGCTTTCATCCAATGGAATATCCAAAGAACCGCCACAACTGGTGCATTCCACCGAAGGCGCTAGGAACCATTGCGAGCGCGTTTTCATGCGTTCAGTTTGCCGTTCATGCACCTAATAACAAATTAAATATTAAAGCGTAAAAGTTTTGTTTGCAAATAAAATCTTCTGATACCTCTGGAAGATAACTCAAACTGCGAGTGCTTTCTGCATAGCGATTGACATCTCGCAGCTCATCAAGAGTCATGTGCGGCCCTGAATGGCTTTGGCTTGTTTTAGAGGAATGACTGGCACTGGACGAAGTGCTATTACCCTAAACAAATAAAAACATCATTAAATTTCAATCTTAGATACTAATATATGATAATATCACCTGGAAAAATCCGTTTTGCTCTAAGGAAATGGAAAGTCTCGTGCAGGACTCAAGAAGAGAATGCTCGGCAATCATACCCAGACTGGTGGAGCTAACCGACGTGGTCGGTAGTCCTGTTTCCACCAGCGCGGGTGTCGACTGTGACTCGTCCTGCGCCATCGCTACAAAGACCGAAAACGTTTCAATGATCGATGGGCGTGAATTTGAGGGTAAAATAATATGATTAGTGATATTAAATGAATATGAATCAAGTGCGAGCGTTAAGTAACAAGTTATTTACATGACATTCAATAATCAAACACTAAAATCTAAAAAAACACATTCAATAAACAAATTAATAGCAATTACAGTGCAAAATCATAAAAAAGAAAATATGTATAACACAAAAATAAACTAGTAGTAAATGTGTTTATTACAAATCTTTGCAAAAATCATATCACAGTGCCATTATCATTATAATAATAGGTAGTAATCGCAGTTAACAGTGCAAAACATTTGTGAACAAAAGGTCGGTGCACGCAAAGCCGCATTCCGCAGTTAGTCAACCAAACATCAACGCTAGGAAGTCTCAATGAGCGTGACCGCCATCATTTTTTTCAATTTAAAACCTCCTCCAATCTCTCTCTCTCTCTCGCCATGACAATAAATATAACACTAAAATTTGTACCAGAAAGGAAAAAAAGAAGAAAAACCAAACGAATAACGGAATGAAACAACTCTCGGCCGAGGGAATCAAAACTTCGAATCGAAATCAATGCACATTATTGAATGTTATGTTTTCTTTCGTTTACCTTCGAGTCGGTACTTTGTGCGCCACCGGTCGCTTTCGCATTGCAACCAGGTCTTTTCAACCTCCATTGATATCTGCCCTATATTCGATCAGTGACAGGAGAAGAGAAGCAAAAAACATAACATTTGAATGTGCGCTTCCAAAAATCGACATATGAGAAAGAAACACAAGTGGTGGGCAATTGCCGGCCAATCGCGCACACAATTCAACGCTTAGAAAAGTTGAAGGCAGTCAACAATAGTGCGATCGGCTGGCTCTTAGATATCCACCTGAATTGCGGCAACGGTAAAGAGCATTCGGAGTAGAGGAAGTTGCTCACCTAGGAAGTAGTACTGCTCCAGTGCGCTCAGGTGATTGCCAAACATTTGATTCTTGTTCGCTGAAGGGGGATACTGGAACGAGCAGATCCATTCGCCCTGCACGCGCAGGACTCGTCCGGTAACACGTGCGTAAAACTCGTAATTCTCGCGTCCGAAGAGGTCCGATGTGGCAAACTCTTCAATAAGGTGTTTCATCACTCGTGTGGCGACCTAAATACAAAACACACATTAACATAAAACACTTACATTTCAAACTGGGCAACAAGAACAAGACCAACAAAATGTAAACATGAATATTTCGAATTAATTCGTTTCCTGCGTGTGTTTGTGTGTATATGTATGTATTTTACCTCATTAGTCAAGCATGAGTTAAATTACCAATCGAGTTTCGAAAGTGTAAAGTGGAAAGCGTAATTTTAATTTTCTCTCCCAATACCCTGATACAGAAAACAAAAAAACGTGCAGAAAATTATTCGACATCAAAACAAAATCATCTAACGAATGAATGAAAGTCGAAGAAGATAAATTGTACAACTGTAGCTAATAATAATTAAAACTTACATTCACTTCGGCCTGCATGTTGCAAAAAAGTAAAGCGTTGTACAGCATAAGCAGTCAAAAACGTGAATCGATCATTATATTCATCACCAAGTTATATTACCAACAAAATCGTCTACCGACTCATCTCTCATTTTATCATGTTCAAATAAATGTACTAAATGTAAGAAAAAAACCTAACAAGAAAACTATATGTGAACGCACCTTGAACCGCATCACGTCTTCCATTTTAGCAGTTTTGCCATCACTGACGCAGGTATGAAAGAAGCTGGGCGCCACGCTCACTCCTAACGCTTCGCTCGTCATTCCTGTGGCGGCGCGATCACTATTCGCGGAAATCACTCGAAATGTGCCAAATAACAGCACTAATAATCTTTGGGTGTAGACTGGAAGTGATGCAATTATTCTGAAAGTAAAAATGTCAATAAAAATAAACATGATTAAAAAACAGGCAAATATTTTATACCTGTGAATATCATCGCGTTGTTTCTGCACGTCACTCATCTCGATGATGTCGAAAAACTGATGCTCGATATCTCTACCGAAAACACCACCGGGTATCTTGCGCAGAAACTTTTTGAGAACGCTGGCAATGGTGTAGACACTAAAATTCTCCATATTGATGAGTCGGCCGGTCTGCAGGAAGTGCGTGAGCTTCTTCATGGCGCCCTGGTTGCCCGGTGCGCGGAAGACATCTTTTCTGTACGGCGCTTCTTTGTTAAGCTTTAATATCAACACCTGCAAATATTTCATTTCATTTCAAGTTAGATTTTATCTAATTATTACAATAAAATTATTGTTAAACTACTATTCTATTCGAATCAACAAACAGAAGGACGTTAGTAACATTATTGACAATGATGACAAGCGAAAAATGCAAATATTTACAACAAATGATGAAAATTTACGAATAATTCTTCAGATTTTGATTAGATGCCTATATTTAGCAGGTCGTAGTAATTTGTAATTGCCGACGCGCTTAGAAATTGAATCCGTAACGAAGGTGGTTGGCGTGGGTGGAGGCGCGCGCGACCACGCACATCAACCCATCGCCACGGCAACCAATACGCTCATATCTGCCCTAGATTCGCGAGTGCAAGCCTGCAGCTCTCCCAGGCGCTCAAACCTCCGAGTGAAGTAGCCATTGTAAATAAATTCGAAGAATGCTCGACGAGCAATTCAAGCAACACTCGAGGTTTCTTAGCGCAGATTTTCCCAAGCAAAGCGAGTTGGAAATTTGTATACTACATAGAAATCACGTTTTTTACTTGAAACTGAGCCTGAAATTTAGCAATCGTTTGAAATTCAATGGATTATGCAAGGTATTACTAAATAAAACCCACATATTTTTCTTTGTAATAAATTCTTGAAAAAAATAAAATGTTAGTAATAGTAGGACTCGCCCAATATTCAATATTTGATTAGTTGCTTTAAAATTTATTCAGCTTATGATAAATTGTCGATAAATATCGTTTCCGATCAATGAAAACTGTTTAATTTGTTGATACGCTAAACACATAATGATAATAACAGACATATTGAACTAATATTAAACTGTTTTAAATTGTGTATCATGATATCGCAAAATGACTCGATTTATTGCAAATTTTATGATTTAACAATAAAAACTGTCAGTTAATTTCACCAATTAATATTACAATGATAAAATAATCTATAACGCCTACAAAAAATATGCTTATGTTACAAGCATCCGTGACACTGCCAGACCAAAAATAGGAAAAAATATAAATAATATTTATATTCGACTTTCCAGTATCCAGTAATGACGTATTAGGAATATGTAATAACAAATATTGCATTATTACAACAATGGAAAATTATTATTTTGCTGCTGTCGTCAACTTCACTGGTTTAGACAATAAACAAGAATTTGCTTCAGAAACTGCAGAATTTGAATTAAAACAACCAAAAAATCATTAAACGATGATTCCCCTTTATTAATTTATACTATAAAAGTGCAAAATATATTAAGAAACTACATATTTATCTAGATTTTGTATTGTATTAGATGTTGATGTCGATTTGCACGTTGCACGTTCACATTGCTAATTATTTATTATTGCATCGTCGCCAGTTGGCATTAGAAGCGTGTTTGCATGTTTGCAGGCACATCGTCGATTGCGCGATGCAACAATATCGAATGTCTTATTCCAAGCATAAATCACGTCGCATACATGCTAGTGCGACCGCGAAAACAATAAATACATGACTCATACGGCAGCGCGCGAATTCCCCGTATTTTAATAAGGTACGCACAACGCATGTCTGTGCGCTCACATTGTTGTTGCATGGTGTACGTTATGAATAATGTTATGAAAGCGTAAGCGTCGCAGGATATAGCACGAATTCATATCAACTATTAGGTATGCATGTCCAGACGCACGCAATTGTAGTAAATATTTAAATTTTAAACAAATCATCAAATTATTCCTCGTTTTTCAACAAAAAGTAAATAAATAAATCAACTATGACTAATTTGAAAATAAGCGAATAGAAAATATATACTCGTAATTGCAGTGACTATAAGGACTCAAGAAAGAACACATAAATTCTGCAAACTTTATCCCTACTAATATTATAAATGCGAAAGTCCTGATGTTTGTTACAATTTCACGCAAAAACTACTTAACCGATCATCATGAAAATTTGTACACATATTCTTAGTGGTCCCCGAATGGTTATAGGTACTTTTTATTTAATAAAAAAAATTAATTTTTAAATAAAATAAAGAAATTGTTTAGCCAATAATACCTCTGCATCTGGCTATTTGACTACTTTAACGCCATCTAGCATTCCAGCAATGCAGCTCAAACCTAAGTACTATAGTACCATCACACTGTATTATCACACTGTATTACCGACAGCTACGTCAACATCAAATCCAATTGACTACACTATGGAGACTGTACACTATACTTCCATAGACTATACTTTCAGCCATTTTAAACTTCCCGCCATTCTACTTCATTGTTACTTCTTCTGTGACTACAGACGCTTACGGAAGCAACTTCATTATTTTAGATATTCGCGAGCGAAGCCGCGGGTTAAAGCTAGTACTCGTATTTCATAAACATGTTTTGCGCAGCATAAGACTTTCATAATTAACGCTGTAAAAGAAAGTAAATAATAAACATTTACCTAATCGCAAATTTCCGCGACTCCAGCCTAATCTGTTGAAACGTAGGTATTCACAGAATTGAAAGTGTTACTAAAGCAGATGAGAAATCTTGCGACTAACGCAAAGAGTCAGTCAAAAGTTCCGAGAGGATGTATGAATCACAGCTCGCATTTTGTCAGCGATAACCTCCTATTCGCCTAGTTCACGATAAATAATTCCATGCATTAGAAACGCATCATAGCATAACTACACAACTAGTTTCACAAGTTGTCATTATTGTGTAACGATTGCCCTTGAATTTTAATAATTTGAGAGCGCAACTCATTCTCATTATGATTTATCGGAGTAAATAGCAATATAAACCATATTTGGACTTAGCTAGCAGTAATTGCATTATTGTACAAATGCGGTAATATCAATAAGTAATTAATTTAATAGTTTCATAAATGGAATAGGTAGCTACGTGGTTCAAATGAGAATTTATCCTCTTGAATTAAAATTATGTCAATAATTCTGTTGTTATTATTTGCAGAATGATAACAGCAACTCTGGAAGTTATTTATCACGAAAAATAGCTATCTATTGAGGTAATAAAGCTGTGTTGATTTAATTAGAAGTAAAGTTTACGTTGTGAGTAATAATAAATGCGTTTTGTTTCAAAATTGTGAAAATATGTGGGCATAAACAAACAAAAACATTTACAAAATTTCGTTGCGAAAGTTAATCGAGCGTAGGTATGCACGTTCTCAATTTCAGTACAAAATTTATTCAATTGAATTTAATTGCATGAATTCATTTATTCAAAAACTTGTTTTTAATGCATGGCTATACAAATATTTCACTGCAAAATTATCACAATTTTAAACGTTCTAATTAAACAAATAAAAATGTTAACACGTCAATAAATTAAATATGATGAATCCATGATGATTCAATTTTTCGTTTTATTGTGCACATTAAAATGAATCACATTAAAAGCTGACTGGAATGCTAATTAAGAAGAATTTATCAAAGTCCACAAATATCAGACATTCCTAACGACAACTGCGTCGAGACACTTTCCTGCATTCATTGAATATTACTTAAGCTGTAAACCAATCGAGTCAATAGTAAATATTAAATATTACTATATTTACAAACCGTAATACGTAAGTCTGCGCTTCGCAGCGATTAAAATAATGAGTCACAATAATAACAATCAACAACTATCACAATAATAAATGCTTTATAATTTATTTTTGATTCGCCACAATATAATATAATGCATTCCTTTGTTATATTATTATTCCACAATTCAAGATAATCTAAGTGTCATCAGGTAAATGACGCTTGCAAAATGCGAAAAAAAAACACAAGAAACATAAAAAGTTCCGTTCTTAATTATAAAATAATTGTTTCATTCACATAGTGTCTTCGGGCACATCAGCGTAAAGTTAAACACAATTTTCTCTTCTTCATCCTTGATGACTTGATGATGATTGAGGTTCATCGACACAAAACATTAAACGTCAAGCGGTTTAGTCACAAGTCACAAAAGAAACAAAACGGGAACGAAGCATATAGAAATGACAAGATGCCAGAGATACGGTTCTGATAAAGAAGATTAAGATGATGGGCAACGGCATTTAATAACAATAACAAATATATAAATATAATGCTAGTGAGTGAAAAGAAACTACTCGTCAACTCGTTCAACTCTCAACTCCACTAAGCATGAAATAACAACAATTGAGATAATGTCGTTTTGGATAATGTTGGATAGATTGTTAAATTGTTTATAAACATATTTTACAAGAGTTCGGTGATTCGGTGTGATGAGAATGTTGCGTAATGTACTTGCTGGTTGTTGTATTTTTTAGTGTTGTTCTGTTTGCGGTTGGGGTTTTATTTTCATGAATGGCGTGTTCGTGTGCGTAGTGTGTAGTAATTGTGCGCTCGCCACACACACCAGAGCAAAACGGTACTTACGACCGAGCCATCTCATCGACATCATCTTGTTATCTCTCGACGCGCGCTCGGTAATCGCTCGACAAATCGGCTGCCGCGAGCAGCGAATCGAAATTATTTTCACGACACCGAAACGAAAGAGAAAACAAGCACAAGATTACAAATTATTTCCTCTGCATTCGCTTACTTCAATCACAGAGTGTCAGAAACAAGATTGAAACATCTTATATTAACAATTAAATTATTTATTTAGAAAAAAACTGTGTTTTCTTATCAAAAAATTAACTTTTTGTGACTAAAAACGCGATCAAACAATCAAACTCTTTGAAAATACATTTTTTTACTAATTTTACTTCATGAAACTCTCAGAAAGTTAAAACAAATAAAAATTGATCAAAATTTGAACTTTTTTATATTTAAAAAGGTTTTTATTGAATTCACGAACTTTAAATTTAAATATCTCGTTGAATTAATAATTTAAAGACCTGAAAAAGGTGATTTACCCAAGAATATCTTGCCGTGACACTCTGTATCTGACATAATTCAAGAATATGTCTTAACCTATGCCGCCTATGCGGACAATTGCATAATGCGGTTCACGAAATAGTTTTCGAATACAAACAACTATGAATGGACAGTAGGTAGTTGTGCATTTCGTAGATACTCACCAGCAGCGGCGCGGGTATATCGTTCTTGCAGACCTCCTCGAGGGGCACGCCAAATTTGACTTTGTCAAGGCGGCGCGGGTAGGGCCCGGACGGGTGGCCGCACGACGTGACCACATTGCCGAACGTGGCGGCGCGCCGATGCATTCTTGCCGCCCAACTGCTCATCGTCGTCGTTCGGTGCCCGGACGCGCGCTCACCGGTGCATCGCCCGGCCAATTTCACACAATGACACACTTCACTGGTTATTCATTACACGAATTATTTTTTAATTTTAAATTTTAATCAAATAATGAATTTTTTGACGAATTTTCTTTTCTCTGCGTGCTGATGACTTGTGTGTTGATTGTTTTCACCCAAACTGAAAATCAACAAGTTGTAACAAGTTGTAAAGCACTGGTTGTGGATGTTTTCGGTTGTTTTTCTCCCCCAGGTGATGGAAATAAACAAATTGTTTTGTTGCAATGTAGCGTTGCGCTTTGTGATGATTGAGTTATTTATGTAAAATAATTATTTACCACGCCTCCGTTGTCGCGCACATGCGAATTATCGATCGACCGTCCGCCAAACACTGAAGCAACTGAACTGAGCAGCAGCTGTTTTCGCCGAGCGACGACTGACGACGCCTCGAAGCGCTTCGAAAGACGGGGGAAGCGCCGAACTAGACCAGACCACTGGGCTAGACGTGCGAGCATGAACCGCGCTCAACTTAAGCTGTTGATAATTCGTCCACCACCCACGCTCAATCAAAATTGGATTTTCGAACACGAACACACAACACAAATGTGTTAAAAGTTTCTAAAAAAGCAACAAATTGCATTCGACTAACCAAAATTGCTTGAGGTTGTTTATAATCTTGATTCACGAGTCAGATTACAAACAAAACGACGCTCACTTGATTACACACTTCTTTATCACAGCAAAAAATGCCTAGATTTTTGGTTTGCATGAATGTTCATCAAACTTTTGTCAAATTGTCTGCCCAGGTATTTGTAGGCCAGCACTTATATCCCATTTTGTTTGCACTCGTTAATTTATACTCGCGCGCGTCGTGATAACCGCTGAAGGAAATTATTGAATGAACTACCGTTAGTACATGGACCTGAGCCGCTCTAGCACCATGATCGCTGCCCATGAGAGCATCTCGACACGTAGATCTCGACACCTCTCTGGCCGAGATACGTGATATCAATTTACAGCGGTTTTTAGGAAAATTTGCTTGTGTTACGTATGTCAAAATGTCGCTCACAGATGACAGATGACAACCGGTTTTAAAATGGTTGGTATCAAACAGGTTTCAAACAGTTTTTAATTCTGGTATGTACTGATTAAGTATCTCGGTGGTTAAAGTAAATAATTCCTAATTATTTCTGTAATTAAGTTTTCATATCAGCTTTAAAGAAAGTATACTCATAACATTGCAAATTTAATACCTCAACATAGGCAACACAGTATTCGCAATTGAATGAATTAGAATAAAACATTTTCAAATAGTTTCTTGAATTTGTCTAAATTTGTTTTTGATAATTTAGTTTTTATTGTTGCACTTGGATATGCATACAATTTGTTTTATCAAAGCACAGTAGCTAATTTTACTTTTGTAATTATTTTTCCACCTTTTGCCATCCTTCTGTGATTCAAGTTGGCAACACTGTGCTAGTCGTCGATGTCATTTTCGCACGTCAGTATGAATTCGTCCGTTGCTTGGAGCCCGTGACTCGTCGTTTTATTCATAACTTTTTTAAATATAAACAACACTGTTTGTACTTCGTTTTCTGTTAAACTAAAGTTTTTGTACTGTAATTTATTCGTTTTCTAAATAGATGTTATTGCCAAGATTTCGCGAAGCAAATATTGTGCAATCATTGTATTTGCCGATTTTGAAGATGTAGTATCATAATTTGATCTTGGTAAGTTAAATTTATCGCTTCAAGGCTTAATTTAAACATTAACTAGCTGTTAATGGATGATCTGAATATCCGAGAACCTTGTTTGAATGTTAATACGCGCAATTTGAATGTTTTTGCACGTTTTGTTTGATTTGTTTCTTTTTTTGTTTGTTTTAGGGCTTAACCAGGTCAAAAGGTAGTACTAGAATAGTCACAGCATACATTAAAATTAAGGTAATTAAGTTTTCTTTGTTATAAATTTCATTCATCGTTGTACAAACAATGTTTTCATTGCAGTTGAATTAAATCCTTTACGCTTGTCAATCCGGTTCCCCCACAGAAAAATGACAGATTTGAAAGAAATACTGTACGCAATTACAGATTTCTACAAAAATTGGGTAATTTTGGCCTCCGCCAACAGATGGCGCGAGTAGTTTTAAATCGGTTTTCCACTTTCTTTTTCGACATTATTTCCTGCGCTGATAGATGGCGCTGCATGTATTTTCAAGTGTATTTTGTTTGCAATTTAGTTTCTGTCAGTAGTTTTTTGGTACGTTGGTGTTACGCGACTTTCGCCAGTTTTAAAGTTCATTTCTCGTTGAGTGATCGTAGTCGAAACTATCATAAAATGTATGTATTTTTGCTCTTTTCCTTCGAGCGCATTACAGTAACTTGAAAATTTAATTTTTTATTTTTTTACCGAATACGTAATCTACTGTTAAATTATATATACTTATTTAAATTTGAACGTGTTTGAATTTCATGGTGTTGTTGAGTTAAACAAGTTTCGCCTTGGGGGCATCGTCCGTTTTTTTTTTCATGCAATTTCAAAAAATATATGTGCTCATATGACAAATTTATACTTATATTTATGCAGTATATAATGTTTATTTATTACAAATTTGATGAATATTTGCATTATAATTACAAAATTTGATTTATTTACTTTGAATAAGTATATCCTTGCGACGTCTACATTTGAAGTTTCGAGTTATGTGTAAAAATTGCTATTTGTTTAATCATTCTTAGTATCTGTTTTCCTGCAATTAGAAAATTGATACCTTAAACTTATTGTTGCGGAAATTTCTTTTAAGCATTCCGCCGAAAATTTGAAAAGGGCAATTCAATTTTTTTATTGCCGATGTTCAATAAAACTCAAATCATAAATCATAATTTCATGATTTAAATTTTAGTTCACTAGCATGAACTAAAAATCATAAAATAGAATTGTATTCGTTTTGAAGACAAATCTATTATCAACGTTTGTGTATAAACAACTTTCTTATCGCATTAGTCGTGCGAGATGCTACGGGTAAGATTCTGGTCGCGCTGTCGCATGCAGCACATTTTACTCGTAGTTTAGTTCTTATTGCATTAAGTACGTGTCTATTGAATTCGCGGACAAGGTCGCGTGCCATCGACGCGCCGCCGGCTTTGCGCATCTATTGCTTTCTTGTCATAATCTGTCGCGTTGTTGCTTGCACAGTTGGGAGCCAGTTTCGTGCCGGTCTTTGGTTGGTCCAGACGTATTTTACGCGACTCATGTTGTTTGTCCCGGCATCTACTTTCCAAATTTGCATTATATTCGATTCTCAATCGACTATAGTAATGTTATTTACTGTTTGCGCGTATATAGTCCATAGAAGCCGGTTAAGTGCATCGCCCCCATGTTGATTTGATATTCATCATTAGGATGACCCATTGTGCTGGTGTAAGGAACTTTTTAGTAAACAGCCCAGATTGTTTGTTTTTCTCCGCTGTGTGATTATAATTACTAAATCGTATGAATTATTTTTGTTTTAATTTATGCTTTCTCTTTTTATTTATAGTATTTGCCATTCCTTGGAGTCCATGAGTCTTGCATTGGTAAGTTTATCATTAAATTATATTTTTCGTTTTAATTTCTGCGTCCTCCATTAGTTTGTATTTACGTTGTTTTGATTTATCGCGTTCCACAGCGTGTTGCAAATACATTAGATAGTCGCGTACTCGGTTGATACATCTAAAAACAAGTTTTAGTTTAGTTTTTTTTTATTGAAGATTCTATATCTTCGGAAAATTCTTTATAAGATAAGGTATTCAAATTGGGAAAGTAGGTGAGGTCGAGAATAATTCATAAACAATTAGCTAAGGACAAGGTTTGTTATTTTTATTTTTAGGGGAATTTTAGATATTGGTTTGTTTTTATTTACTGTATAATTCATAGATGGGACTAGCATAAACCAGAAATTGCTTATTTATCAACATTTTTTTTTGTCGCGTTGCCATCTGCTCATATCATATGCAGCATATTTTTGTTTAGTTTTGATGGCAAATACCCCACGGAACAGAATTATTTTTATTTTTTCCCTGATAGAGAATTTTCCAATCTTTCATATTCTTTGATCTGTTGTTCGCTTGCGCTTTTAATTTTAAAAAGGGCAGCGGTAGAATTGACTTGTATTCAGGGCACCGTACAAGGGCAGCGGTAGAAGTGACTTGTGTTCAGGGCACCGTACGTAGATGAACGTATAGCTGACTCCCATTTGCCCATTTTTATTATTTCATCTCTTAGATTTTCAATTTAACTAGCTTATCTTATAGAGAATTTGCTGTAGATTAAGAGATTGAAATCCTTTTGTTTGTATTAAGTTAAGCTGATAGTTTATATTATTATTTATTTTAGTTTTACGATGTGTATAGTTATAAATGTATCACTTCTGCACTGAAATAGAAATAAGCAATATTTTACTGTTCACACATGTTTCTGTTAAGTGAGCCTTCGTTGTTGTACATAAAAAATACTACGATAAACTACGAAAAACACCCCCAAAATTCAGCAATATTTCGCGCATTTTTAGTGTGTTGCGATGGAAATTGCAATTAACTAGTTTAACTTATAGAGAATTTGATGTAGATTGCCAATCTACAATCAATTCCTCTCTATCTCCTTTGGTATCAGTATTCGTTTGTGTATAAACACGTTTTCGTGTCGCATATATATCATATTTTACACTTCGCGCAGAAGTTTTATTGCATGTTTTGTCTCTGCTTTATTTTATCATTACTTGCACGCAATGTTCTAACTATCGTTCTCTTCTTTGTTTTAGCAATTGCCTTCGAGTTCCGATGCCCGAGTCACGAGCTAAATTAGAATGCGAATTTCATTCGCTTCGTCGTTCGACTCCCGATTTAAAATAAAATAAATATTGACACCTTCCCACATTTCCCTTAACAATGTCATTTATTTCACAGATTTTATCATCTTCAACAATAGTCTTGAGTGTTACATCGAGTGAAATACTGGTATGTGGTATGTGTAACTAAGTGTTTGTTTTGTACTTATCCCCACGTGCTGGTAATATGTACGTCTTTTTAATCATTGAGCGCGAGCTGGGCGTCACACAAACTCGAGCGGGGTGTCTAGAGTTGTAGAATTAAATTCTCCGTCGGGTTGTATTTGTTTGCGGTAGAAGTGACTCGATTCAGGGCACCTTACGAGGCCAGCGGTAAAAGTGACTCGTGTTCAGGGCACCGTATGAACCCGGCGAAAATTTTCATGAAAAAATCACCCTTTTCATGAAATGTTTGTATTTTTGTGTTTGCGCGCGATTTAGGCGGCTCACTAACTTCAGCGTAGCGTCTAGAGATGCGGAAATAAATTCTCCGTCGTGTTGTATTTTACTGTTTGCGCGTATATAGTCCATAGAAGCCGGTTAAGTGCATCGCCCACATGTTGATTTGATATTCATCATTAGGATGACCCATTGTGCTGGTGTAAGGAACTTTTTAGTAAACAGCCCAGATTGTTTGTTTTTCTCCGCTGTGTGATTATAATTTCTAAATCGTATGAATTATTTTTGTTTTAATTTGTGCTTTCTCTTTTTATTTATAGTATTTGCCGTTCCTTGGAGTCCATGAGTCTTAAATTGGTAAGTTTATCATTAAATTATATTTTTCGTTTTAATTTCTGCGTCCTCCATTAGTTTGTATTTACGTTGTTTTGATTTATCGCGTTCCACAGCGTGTTGCAAATACATTAGATAGTCCGGTCCCCCTTTGATACATCTAAAAACAAGTTTTAGTTTGGTTTAGTTTTTTTTTAATTGAAGATTCTATATCTTCGGAAAATTCTTTATAAGATAAGTTATTCAAATTGGGAAAATAGGAGAGGTCGAGAATAATTCATAAACAATTAGCTAAGGACAAGGTTTGTTATTTTTATTTTTAGGGGAATTTTAGATATTGGTTTGTTTTTATTTACTGTATAATTCATAGATGGGACTAGCATAAACCAGAAATTGCTTATTTATCAACATTTTTTTTGTCGCGTTGCCATCTGCTCATATCATATGCAGCATATTTTTGTTTAGTTTTGATGGCAAATACCCCACGGAACAGAATTATTTTTATTTTTCCCTGATAGAGAATTTTCCAATCTTTCATATTCTTTGATCTGTTGTTCGCTTGCGCTTTTAATTTTAAAAGGGCAGCGGTAGAATTGACTTGTATTCAGGGCACCGTACAAGGGCAGCGGTAGAAGTGACTTGTGTTCAGGGCACCGTACGTAGATGAACGTATAGCTGACTCCCATTTGCCCATTTTTATTATTTCATCTCTTAGATTTTCAATTTAACTAGCTTATCTTATAGAGAATTTGCTGTAGATTAAGAGATTGAAATCCTTTTGTTTGTATTAAGTTAAGTTAATAGTTTATATTATTATTTATTTTAGTTTTACGATGTGTATAGTTATAAATGTATCACTTCTGCACTGAAATAGAAATAAGCAATATTTTACTGTTCACACATGTTTCTGTTAAGTGAGCCTTCGTTGTTGTCCATAAAAAATACTACGATAAACTACGAAAAACACCCCCCGAAATTCAGCAATATTTCGTGCATTTTTAGTGTGTTGCGATGGAAATTGCAATTAACTAGTTTAACTTATAGAGAATTTGATGTAGATTGCCAATCTACAATCAATTCCTCTCTATCTCCTTTGGTATCAGTATTCGTTTGTGTATAAACACGTTTTCGTGTCGCATATATATCATATTTTACACTTCGCGCAGAAGTTTTATTGCATGTTTTGCCTCTGCTTTATTTTATCATTACTTGCACGCAATGTTCTAACTATCGTTCTCTTCTTTGTTTTAGCAATTGCCTTCGAGTTCCGATGCCCGAGTCACGAGCTAAATTAGAATGCGAATTTCATTCGCTTCGTCGTTCGACTCCCGATTTAAAATAAAATAAATATTGACACCCCTTCCCACATTTCCCCTTAACAATGTCATTTATTTCACAGATTTTATCATCTTCAACAATAGTCTTGAGTGTTACATCGAGTGAAATACTGGTATGTGGTATGTGTAACTAAGTGTTTGTTTTGTACTTATCCCCACGTGCTGGTAATATGTACGTCTTTTTAATCATTGAACGCGAGCTGGGCGTCACACAAACTCGAGCGGGGTGTCTAGAGTTGTAGAATTAAATTCTCCGTCGGGTTGTATTTGTTTGCGGTAGAAGTGACTCGATTCAGGGCACCTTACGAGGCCAGCGGTAAAAGTGACTCGTGTTCAGGGCACCGTATGAACCCGGCGAAAATTTTCATGAAAAAATCACCCTTTTTCATGAAATGTTTGTATTTTTTTGTGTTTGCGCGCGATTTAGGCGGCTCACTAACTTCAGCGTAGCGTCTAGAGATGCGGAAATAAATTCTCCGTCGTGTTGTATTTGTTTGTTGCAGGAATTCGACCTGAAACCCGCGACAATTTGCGTTAAATGGTGATTTACTCACCCTTTTTCGTGCAATATTTGTATTTTTTCCGGTTTGCACGCGATCTTCGTGTCTCAATAACTTCAGCGCTTCATCAAAAGATGCGGAATTAAATTCTTCGTCGGGTGGTATTTGTTTGATGCAGGAATTCTGCTTGCAACGAGTGAAAATTTGCATTAAAAGGTGATTTAATCACCCTTTTTCGTGTAATATTTGTATTTTTTCGGGTTTGCACGCGATCTTCGCGTCTCAATAACTTCGGCGTGGCATCAAAAGATGCGGAATTAAATTCTTTGTCGGGTGATATTTGTTTGATGCAGGAATTCTGCCTGCAACCCGCGTAAATTTGCATTAAAAGGTGATTTACTCACCCTTTTTCGTGCAATATTTGTATTTTTTCGGGTTTGTTCGCGATCTTGGCGTCTCAATAACTTCGGCGCGGCATCAAAAGATACGGAATTAAATTCTTTGTCGGGTGATATTTGTTTGATGCAGGAATTCTGCCTGCAACCCGCGAAAATTTGCATTAAAGGTGATTTACTCACCCTTTTCGTGAAATATTTGTATTTTTCGGGTTTGTCAGGGCACCGTATGAACCCGGCGCAAATTTGCATGAGAAAATCACCCTTTTTTCATGAAATGTTTGTATTTTTTCGTGTTTGCGCGCGATCTAGGCGGCTCACTAACGTCAGCGCGGCGTCTAGAGATGCGGAATTAAATTCTCCGTCGGGTTGTATTTGTTTGTTGCAGGAATTCGACCTGCAACCTCGAAAATTTGCATAAAAGGGTGATTATTGACATCCTTTCTCGTGAAATGAATGCGCTGTCCCGCACTTCCTCTCATTAATGTAAATTATTTCCAAATTTTTCTCATCTTCAACACTGATCTAAGTGTTGCAATACTGGAAATATATTTTGTTTGTTACAGATTTCATCTTTCCAAGACGAAACTTCAAAATATCCAGGAGAATTTCGTGATTTTCCATTCCGGTTATGGCGTCAGTCTTGACGTCGAATGATATTCGTAGTTTTAAAATGTTTTTTGTTTTCACATTAAATTTTTCATTAGCAACACCTTGTATATATGTTTCCATTTTCAATCACCTAGAAAATGAGCTATTTGCCAACATGTGCGTGGCTATGCAGGTCGTAAGTCAACATGGCGGCACGTATTTGTTTGACTTATAAAATCTAAACATGTATTCTATTGAATAAAGAAACAGTAAGATATATTGACTTCTTTGATTTGTGTGTACCCCTTCTATGATTATAGGTACAGTTCCCTCTCTTTCTATTAATACAGAAGTGGAGAAAGGACATTTTCAGTTTTAAAGAGCAGGTCAAAAACTATCTGCGCAATAGTGCTACAAGAGCATAAATGGCTTCGCATTATGTTTTATAGAAAATGATATTTTTAAAAACTAGAGTACGACAAATTATTGAAATCTTTTACTTAAAGGCAAGAAAATAAATTGTAATTTGTATTTAAATACGATTACCGTTTTAAGAACACACGGCTGATGAACTCGAGAACCAAGATAGCATTGAAAGCAGTAATCCATCGCGGTGACATGGCAGAGAAAATTTTACCTGTGATATTTCAGATATCAGTTCTGAAAACAATTAACGCACAACACTGGTCCATCGCGAAAAGGGCGAATCGGAAGATAATTTAATAAATTTTGGAATGGGTACGTATGGATTAGGCCTGCTGGGGATACCACGATAAAAAAGCAGCGCCACGTACTCTACCTCATGGTGTGGTGAGGAAATGAAGTTTTTTTAGCTGCAAACGAATGGTAATTTTATATGCCCGTACGCTAAAACCAAAGGGAGAAATGTATTATTTTACTGGGCTAATAACTGTTTTGTAAATTTTTCGGATTTAGGGGCCCCAACTGATTTAGTATTTAGCCCCACTGAAGCATAATTCAAGACTGATCTTAAGTCTCCCACAAGTCACCAAGTTTCTTCAATAAACTGCTTTGGAGGCTCTCATTTAAGTAAAAATTGACCCAATAATTAATATCTCGGAAATATTTGATCTAAAATCGGTCAATCTTTTAATTGCATGTCATAAATTTAGTTTTTTCACAATTTTAAATAATTAATCTAAATTAAAGCATCTATTACTCCAAAATACTTATAGATGGCACTAGCATGGACTAAAAATCGTGTGTGTAGGTTTTATTGCTTTATTTCTATATCAGCAAACGTGTATCTGACAAGAATTGCGTTTATTTTGATCACAACTTACACTTCTTTATCGCATTCTCCGCGTGTATGTATGCAACGCATGAGATTATCTCACAAATTGACTTCCAAAAATTGCATTTTTATGCTTGAAGAATTTCACCTTTTGCTACTTGTGGATTTTGCACCCTTGAGTCTTACATCGTAGAAGTATATCTTAAAATGTATCGTATACAAAACTCCCCTTTACTATTTTCTTAAATACTCTTTTATGGATATTCTCAACAAATTTAGACCTAAAATTGCATTTTGGCGTTTGAAGGGACCTGTTCCTTTATGGTTTTAGGGATTTGCCAAAATTCCTGAATCTAGATCGTAGAAGGACCATTCTTGCACTTCAGATTGTAGTGGTATTAACTGCAGTAGTAGATTACCTCACAAATTGACCCCAAAATTGCATTTTTATGTTTCAAAGACTAATTTTTGCGGTTTGTGGATTTTAAACCTGAGTCTGACATCGTATACACCACATATTTTGCATCAGATTGTAAGTATTACGTTTCTTTACTTCCTGTAAATAACTTTTTGTGAATATCTCATAAATTAACCCTAAAATTGCATTTCATGTTCGAAAGACTTAATGGTTTGTTTTAGGATTGTAATCTGAATATGACATCGTAGAAGGATTCATTCTAGTATCAGACTAGTACCAATTCCTTTATCATTTTCCTCACAACTTTGTGATTATCGTACAAATTGATCCCTGAAAAGTGCATTTTATGTTCGAAGGACTAATTTTGATGGTTTTAGTGGATTTTGCAACCTGAGTCTATCATCGTAGAAGGACCATTTTGGTATCAGATTGTAAGTACTCAATTCCTTTATCATTTTCTAAATAACTTTGTGATTATCGTACAAATTGATCCCAAAAGTGCATTTTATGTTCAAAGACTAATTTTGCTTGTTTTAGGATTTGCACCTGAGTCTGACATCGTAGAAGGACCATTCTAGTATCAGATTGTAAGTAATTAATTCTCTTTATCATTTTCTAAATAACTTTTAGAACATTCACAAATTAACCCTTAAAATTGCATTTTTATGTTCAGACTAATTTTTGCTTGTTTTAGGATTTGCACCTGAGTCTGACATCGTAGAAGGACCATTCTGGTATCAGATTGTAAGTACTAATTCCTTTATCATTTTCCCCAATAACTTTGTGATTATCGTACAAATTGGATCCCAAAAAGTGCATTTTATGTTCAAAAGACTAATTTTGCTTGTTTTAGGATTATGCACCTGAGTCTGACACATCGTAGAAGGACCATTCTAGTAGTATCAGATTGTGTACTAATTCCTTTATCAATACTTTTCCCTCAATACTCTTGTGATTATCGTACAAATTGATCCCAAAAGTGCATTTTGGCGTTCGAAGGACTAATTTTTGGCTTTGTTTTAGGATGCCAAAATTTGAGTCTGACATCGTAGAAGGACCACTTGGGGTATCAGATTGTGGGTACTAAATTCTTTTATCATTTTCTAAATGCTAACTTGTGGATTATCAAATTGATCCTGAAAAGTGTATTTTATGTTCGAAGGACTAATTTTTTGATGGTTTTAGGATTTTGCAACCTGAGTCTGACATCGTAGAAGACCATTCTGGTATCAATATTCATATAAACGTTTCTATTCGTGCGAGGTTCACCATTGGTAGATTAATGCACTGGTGACCCACTGTATTAATGACTCTAGAGTTGAGATAAGTATGTTCAGATGAGTTTTGCCTTACTGTTACAGAATTCCCACCTGCTGCTTTGTTATTGTTGGTTTTACGTGGAATTTTGTGGATTTGTAGCGTTAGGTGGTGAGTTGTTGGGCCATTGCTGGTTATACTCCCTCAAGGACTCAATGGCGGCCGACTTACAGTTCCATTACTCACAGGATTCAAATATCCTTCTGGTGAGTTGACAGCGCTTCTTCTTGGACTTCTCTTTGGTTCTACTGTTTTGCATGTTGCATGTTTAGTAACCATTCACATCCAGACCTTCTTTCACCTATGTTTCTCACTTGATATTATGCTGTAGGTAGTTGAATAATTGCTCAGCTCTTGCATTTGAATGCAAATATGCCTGGCCTAGGTGCTAAATACTGCTGATTTCAGGTAGTTTTTAGTTAGAATTTATAAGGTATCTGGATACAAGCCTGAGACGACGCGGCAGCCATTAAAATGTTTGCTAAGGAGAGGAGTGAGAAATTAAGAATTTGCTGTTGCGATATATAGGCAACCCAAATATACAGCTCTTATACCTGGTATTATATTGGTATTCAATATTGTTGCAAAATTATTAAAACAACTATAATCTTTATTTATATTTATCAAAAATAAATATAAAACGTTTAAAAATCATGAGTTATGCCAAAATTCTAGTCAAATATTTTACTTGTTATGATAAAATTATAATTTTGTTCCCAATGACTGATGCGAGCACAATTCCAGTTTAATTCCAAGGTCAAATCTAGTAAAAAGTTTTTAAATCAAAAACCTGGAGGAGTGGAAAATTAAGTATTTGCAGTTACAAATAGGCAAACCCAACATACACCTCGATTTTACACTAGGCACCACATATATTCAATATTGTTTGCAAAATTATTAAAACAACTAATCTTTATTTATATTTATCAAAAATAAATATAAAACGTTTATAATCATGAGTTAGTACACATTCTAGTCAAATATTTAGTTGCTATTATAATGTATCATAATTTTGTTTTAATGAATGATTTATACACCCAGTTTAATTCCAAGTGTCAAATCTAGTAAAACTTTTAAATCAAGAACCTTGAAATTAAATCTCATTGGGGTGTATAAATCTTTCAGATTTTGCACCTGAGTCTGACATCGTAGAAGGCCACCATTCTTGCATCAGATTGTAAGTATTTAATTTCTTTATCATTCTAAATAACTTTTTAGATTATCTCACAAATTAACCCTTCAAATTGCATTTATGTGTTCGGAAGACTAATTTTTTGCTTGTTTTAGGGATTTTGCACCTGAGTCTGACAAATGTCGTAGAAGCAATTCATTTCTTCCTGTAATTTAGACAGGTATTTAATTTTTATCATTTTCCTAAATAACTTTTGTTATCTCACAAATTCAACCCTGTAAATTGCATTTTTAGGTTCGAAAGACTAATTTTTGTTTGTTTTAGGATTTTGCACCTGAGTCTGATATCAGAAGCAAATTACCTTGTATCAGATTGTGTTATTTTTATCATTTTCCTAAATAACTGTGATTATTCAAATAAAACTTAAACTTGCATTTTATGTTCGAAAGAATTTAATTTTGCTTGTTTTAGGATTTTGCACCTGGAGTCTGACGTCGTAGAAGCACCATTCTTGTATCAGATTGTAAGTATTTAATTTCTTATCATTTTCCTAAATTACTTTTGGTGATTATCTCAAGGCAACAACCTGAAAAATTGCATTTTTATGTTCGAAAGACCTAATTTTTGCTTTTTCTGTTTTAGGATTTTGCACTCTGAGTTCGACATCGAAGGACCATTCTTAGGCATCAGATTAGTACTAATTCTATCATTTTCCTCAATGTAACTTTGTGATTATCTCACAAATTGTCACCAAAAGCGCGCGTTTGGTGTTCGAAGGACTAATTTTCTTGTTTTACTTGCACCTGAGTCTGATATCGTAGAAGGACCATTCTAGTAACAGATTGTAAGTAATTAATTTCTTTTATCATTTTCCCAACTAACTTTTGTAGATTATCCTCACAAAACTGTCCCCCAAAAGTGCATTTTTGGTTCGAAGGACCACTTGCTTGTTTTAGGATTTTGCACCTGAGTCTGACATCGTAGGAGACCATTCTTTCTGCATCAGATTGTAAGTATTTAATTTCTTTATCATTTTCCTAAAATAACTTTTGTAGAATATTTCATACCAACCCTTAAAGTTGCATTTTCATGTTCGAAAGACTAATTTTTGCTTGTTTTAGGATTTGCACCTGAGTTCTACATCGTAGAACCATCTTCTTGCACAAGATTGTAAGTATTAAATTCTTTATCATTTTCTATAAATAATTTGTGTATTATCACACGGGAAAACCTGCAGCAAAATGTCATTTTGTGCTTCTGATAATTTTGTTTGTTTTGTACTCCAGTAGCGAACAAAATTGTCCTAGGACAACGATTCTTTCATCAGAATGTGAGAGTAATGAATTTGTTTATCATTTTCATAAATAATTTGTGCGGGATTATCACATGGGGAAACCTGCAAAATGTCATTTTGTGCTTCGATATGTCCAATTTTTGTTTGTTTTAGGTGTCTTAGCAGGCGAACAAATTGCCCTAGGACGTCGATTCTTCTTTCATCAGGAATGAGTAATGAGTTTGTTTATTATTTTCATAAATAATTTGTGATTATCACACGGGAACCCAGAAATGTCATTTTTGTGCTTCTGATATGCTAATTTTTGTTTGTTTTAGGTGTCTAGTATAAGGAACAAATTCAAGTTCTAGGATAACGATTTTTTCATCAGAAATGTGAGTAATGAATTTGTTTATCATTTCTTATAATAATTTGTGTGATTATCACACGGGGAAACCCGCAAAAATGTCATTTTTGTGCTTCGATGTGCTAATTTTACTGGTTTTAGGTGTCTAGCAGGCGAACAAATTGTCCTAGGACAACGATTCTTTCATCAGGAATGTGAGTACTTGAATTTGTTTATCATTTCATAAATAATTTGTGTGATTATCACACGGGAAACCTGCAGAAATGTCATTTTGTGTTTCGATATGCTAATTTTGTTTGTTTTAGGTGTTCAGTACAGGCGAACAAATTGTACCTAGGACAACGATTCTTTCATCAGAATGTGAGTAATGAATTTGTTTATCATTTCCATAAATAATTTGTGTGATTATCAATGGGAAACCTGCAAAATGTCACTTTGTGCTTGATATGCTAATTTTGTTTGTTTTAGGTGTGTCTAGCAGGCGAACAAATTGCCCTCAGGACAACGATTCTTCTATCAGAATGTGAGTAATGAGTTTCGTTTATCATTTTCATAAATAATTTGTGCGATTATCATACGGAAACCTGCAAAAATGTCATTTTTGTGCTTCGATATGCTACTTTTTACTTGTTTTAGGTGTCTAACAGGCGGTAAACAAATTGCCCTAGGACAACGATTCTTTCATCAGAATGTGAGTAATGAATTTGTTGGATCATTTTCATAAATAATTTTTGTGGGATTATCACATGGCAAACCTGCAAAATGTCATTTTTGTGCTTCGACGTGCTAATTTTTGTTTATTTTAGGCGTATAGCAGGGCGAACGAAATGTCCTAGGAACACGATTCTTAACTAATCTAGATTGTAGTATTGAATTTGTTTATCGTTTTCTATAAATAATTTTGTTTGATTTAACACACGGAACATTTGGTGCAAATTCCTAATTTGTGTACTTGAAATAAGTTAATTTTGATGATTTTAGGACAACGGTCCTATGATATTATTGTGTGGAAATTGAAATTGTTTCTCATTCTTGTAAATAATTTTCATGTTTGATATATAATGAAAGTAAATTAAATATGTTATTTTAAATATAAGCAGTATATTTACTTACAGATTTCTGTCTTAATTCGTTTCTTAAGTTCGCGTCCCAAAACCAGATGGTGCCACTATAAGGTGCAAGGTCAGCTAGCTATTTTGTTTCTTGGGACCACGCCAGATGGCGCTTCTAATGATTTAGCCGAAATCTTACTTCATTTCTTTTGTTTTGTTTTTATGCATGTGATTGCGGTGCGCACGTCACTTTTGCATACACAACTTTTATGTAAAAAACGAAAAATAACGAAAGTTCGATTTTTGTGCTTTCGGTTGTTTTAGGTGTCTAGCGGGCGAACGTGATATCGTAAAACAATCATTCTTTCACAAGTATTCGAATTGTATATGTATTAAAAATATATTTATTTATTAAAATTCCATGTGATTTTTTTGATGTACAGTTTTATTTTTGAGTTTAATATAAGGTCCTTGAGGGCATCTTCAAAACTGTTTCAAACCGTTTTAGCTTAATTTAGCGAATTAAATATGAATTAAAGTCACAAATCACAGCGCATCTGATTTGTGTTTGTTTGTTTTTAGACGTCCAGGAGTTGAACGTGATCTCGGTGTACGAGATCGTGCAATCGTGCCTGCATTCAATTGTAGTAGAGTATTAAAATTTTATCACTTTCATATCTGCTTTGTTCACGTAGCCTGCCATTCTTTCCTTGTTTACGTCGATCGTGCGATGGTTGTCTGGTAATAATGCGTTTGGTCTACAAGTCGATCTCGCAACTAATTTGCGCTGCTTCTGTGATTTTTAAATGGTAGTTGAATTAGAATCGATCGTAGCAAAGATAGCATTTAGAATTAATGGACTAGTGTGGTGCGCAGTTAATGAATTATCGCGCGTGAAGCCAGGAATTTGTGTAGTTACATTGTGCGCACGTCTTTTGCTGTCGGCCGTCGGATATCTCGTCGACACGAAGAATTCTTACTGATTTATATTTTTGTAATATTTATTAAATAATTCAAACGTAAAATATACTTGATTGTTTCCCGTGTGAAATGAAGTCCGTAAAATCTAATCCGTGCACTAGTACTTGTAGCATATGTAATTTAAATTCTGTAAATAGACTAACTTGTATATGTACTACCCTTAATTATATGAGTTTGAAATAAAATATAATTCTAATAGTATATTTAAAAGCAGTCATCTATATCAATATTCCTATTGGTCGTTTTCTAAATTCAGATTTAAAGATCATATCGATTACCCGTGTTTGAAGTTCTTATATATGAGAGAATGCTGTTGTTTTAAAAAAAGGTGACAAAAACAAATAAATACAATACCTGAAACGAATAGAGTTTGATAAGTGAGTTAGGTTTGTGTATGTGCATATAAGCAATATGCTTGAGGTCTGTGGATCGAATCTCT